GGGGTTAGGGTTTAGGTTTAGGGTTCCACCCAAAACAAAACCGGCCCAATCTGAGGTGTGCTCCGGTTGGCAAGCATCATTCGACTCATGATGAGGCAAGTGTCTTTGACTCGTTAAGTATGTATCAGGTTTCAAATTGGATGAGTGATTAGGCTTAAGAGTGTACTCTATGGGCTGATCCTAAACACTAAAACCGAAACCTTAAGCCGCACACGCGGCTTCTTGTGACTTCGGCAGCGTTGAAATGCGACTTTCAGGCTACTCTGAGTAGCTACCACCCGCGAACAGTCGTAGCTAGCTATAGTATATATAACAGCAAATTTAACGTTCTCGGGATACAACACGGGAATAGTAGTGTAAGTAATGAGTGGTAGTAGCAGTAGTAGTGCTGATCCCATAAAACTCTGGCGAAAAGGCACTCAGAGCCCAGCCTGAATTGGGCGATGGATGTGGACCTGCATTGTCAGGATCGAGGAGGAGGGAATCCTATGGTCCTTTCGAGTATGCTTTCGGGCACTACTGTTGGTGACAGTGATAGAACTAATGATCTTCAGAGCAGATCCCAGCCTGTCTCGACTGACCGATGCGGTGCGCACGATCAATCGCCTCGAGGCGTCGGAAGAAGCCAAGAAGCCCGATCGATTCTCTCGCTGTTCTTTGGGCTCGGATACCGCTCACCTTGGCCTTCCCGTGAATGCCTAATCCCAAATCTGCTGCCCAGCTTGCACGTAAAGGCCTCAAGAAGAAGCAATGACTTCAAGGCTTGACTCCGATCATCTGTGCCTGGTGGTCCACGTGCGGATTCCAGTCCTGCTGGGGCAGGCCGGGGACAAGGTTCACCTTTTCGTGTTCTTCTTGCTAGTTGCGCTCTAGCTCAATCGGGAGCTGTTTGAGCAGGGATTTTTTCTGGGAAGACCCTGGGGCCTGCTCAAAGATGACGACGTGGTTAGCCGAGGCAAGGTTGACCTGAGAGCTTAAGCCGTGGACTATGAACAGCGGGCGTTCAATCCCAAAGCCTTGAGTGTAAAGGTGTTTCGGGAGTTGTTTCTACCAGCAAAGGCTCGACTGCTTATGCCGCGCCACCCCCAGACCGCCGGCTCGCGTGCTGATCAAGTAGATGAAGATGTCCTGTTGCGGCGGATGGACATGTGCACTGACCTCAACGCAGGATCCGAAGTTTGCTTGAATCCAAGTGCGCAAGGGCCTCATCTGGAGCATTGAAGTCGCGCATGTCCAACTCCCGCAGCACGCGGTTCGTTGACTGGGAGGAGGTTTTCGGAGCAGGGATGCGACAAACTGCTCTCGGCCAGTTGGCCGATACGTACTGTCAATGCTCCTGAGACCCAGTGGACATGGAGCAGGACAGCGAATTCCCATTAGAACGCTCCGCCTTGGCAAGCTTTCTGGGATGGTGTCGAATGCTGAGCTCTCATGCCGTGTGAGCACATCAACAATCAAGGAACCTTGAACCTTGCTTCAACGGACATTACCAGTATCCCAAAGGCAGAAGTTGGTGGTTGTTGAATCTCTGTAGACTGTGTGAGTTTGAAGTGGCGAAGGCTGACTATAGGAGAAACAAACTCTGACCTGGTCAACCTCATTTCTTGAGGAGCTGCGTTCGTGAATCATGGGGCCCTCCTCAGCCTATATATAGGAGCATGATCCTGTGTGGTTCTGGTGCCGAGGAAGGCACTCCATCCATTCGCATGTAGCGGTAGGCCCTGAACTTGCAGTACTCCTGCACGAGGTTCAGGGGTGGGCCTTTCCTTTTGGGCTCTAGCTTCGGGCTCCGGGTAAAAGGGTTTCCCATGTCATGCCTTGCATTTTCACTGTCAGGATTTGATCCACAAGAACAGTGCGAGGACGGTACAAAAAAAACACTTGGTTCAGACATGTACGCCAAAAAGAAGCCTCTAGTTCGGAAGTGTAGCGATTTCGCATTTGGCTCTGCCTCCACTCTCGGCCTCCCAACCCGNNCCCCCCCCCCCCCCCCCCCGAGAATGTTTTGTAAAAACTGCAGTAGGGTCTCCTTGGGTCTCATAGGGGAATTCAGACCTTCTGAGGTGAGAAATTCAGCCCCCTTGTCCTTGCATGTTTCTCATTCCACTGAAAATGAACCTGCATGGGCTCGACTCCCGACTCAGAAATACTGAAATGTGAAATGAAAAACAGGGGCCAAAGCCACCGTAGCTGCAGCAGACAGCACGCCCACACAGAGAAGCCAGGAGCCCGAAGCCTAGAACGGTTTCAGCCAACTTCCTATCATGGCTGGGACAGACATAACCCTGGTTTTCTCCCAAGTCAAAGTCAACCCCATGACCTCCGCCCTCGGAACGGCCTCCAGGAGATCCATGCACGCCTGGTACTGGCAGAAGATCAGCACCTTGCGCCGCATCGAGAAGTTCGGTATCGAGCACTTGGTGCACAGAAAAAGGTGCGCTGCATTTTGGGAGGATCGATTTTGGGAGCTAAGGCGTCCTGCCCAGCGCACCAGGCTCGTGCGGGAAACTGTTCATCAGGGTAGGCCTTGTGCGGCTGCGGAGTGTCCCAGTCAACGTCATCCATTCCGTCGAGGAAGCCTCCGCTGAAAGTATCCGCGAGTAGGGGTGATGGATGAGGAGATGGGGAGTGGAGGCAGCACGTGTGACAGCGACTGCAACATCATAGAGCCTTTGGCTCGGCATTCTCGGATGTTTGGGCAAGTGTCTAGAACCAGATTCTCTCTTCCACTATTCGGGTCTACATGGGCTTTGGGCGGCAGGGTCCGCTTTTGTGGCCGGTGATGCTCACTCTTCTTGGCCCTCCCGCCTGCGTGCTCCTGCCAGGCGCACAGACTCGGGAGCGGGAAGCCGGTGCAAGCTTGGCAGAGGTATGAGTCGAGATGGGTCGAGCACTGCAATTACGAGCCCATGTCGCTTGCGTGCGTTCGTGATCGGAAGGCTTGGACCTGATGCGTCCTAGCCACCTCCCCAGTTCTACACCCAAGACGGAAGCAAAAAACAAGGGACGAAAGAGGGCGATGGCAGTTCTTATCCCCGGTGGGTCCTTGCCACCCTCGAGCTGCATCCGGTAGTACTTCATGTCCTCAGGTCTGTGGTCTTCAGAACAACACGCCCGAGACCGCTAGTCGAATTCCTGCATTCGCTGATGATGCAGCTGCCTTCTTCCGCCAAAGGATGCGGAAAGCTTGTGTACGCCAAAGCCCTGCCGACTGCGCTGAAAGCAGAAGACTCCATGCAGATGATCGCTCCGCAGTAGTCCCTTCACGCCCGGATGCAATACATCCCCCCAGGCCCAGAACTTCATCACGAATGTTAGGGCCACCGACATCCAGGAACAGCGGGCCGGAAGCATCTTGGCTAGCTTCGGAGGCTTCCACGCAGACGCTGAGAACAGGCAAAGCTTAAAGCGCCCCTCCGGTTGTTTTGTTCTGGCCCATGTCTTAACCAGAGTGGCTTCGTTCTACTCAAGGGCTTCAAGCTTCGAAGACGACTCCAAGTCTTCGCCCCTGAAACGGGAGTCCACGCTTCTGGGGCTTCGGACTTTGCAGGACCGCCAGCCCTGTGAACCCCACACAAAGCATTGCGGGAGCACCTCGAAAGTCCGAAGGAAGCCACACCGAGGGCTCGGGCTCTTCAGCCAAGCCGAGGCAGATTTCCTCTTCATGTCCTTCTCCTTGGTGCGCGCCTGGCTTCCGATCAAGCTCTTCTTGGGTTTGAGTTTGGGTTCAGGGATCCTTTGGATGAAACCTGAAAAGACCTGAGCAGAGTTGGAAAATCCTGGACTGCAGGCTTGCAAGCCTAAGTGTCGGAGAACTGGTCAACCCTAGTCCTTCAGAGCATCTGCAGCCTCGAAGGTCTTGCGCCAATGGTCGTTGAGGCCCATGTTTTGCGCATGGAGGTGCCTCGGTCGCATTCGAGCCTTCGGGCTTCCTTGGAGCCGTGGCTTTGGTCGGACAGCGGACCCAGCTTGAATATGTGGACCACTCGGGGAGGCACGTGAGCAGTGCATCAACGAATGCCAGCTTGTAGCTCTGGCCAATAACCTGCGAGGCGGGGCTTCAGGGTCTCTGGAACGAATCTGTTTGACCCAGTCTCTGATGGACTGCCCTTCACTTAGGAGCATTCCTGGCAGTGGTACAAGAACGGCAGAGGCCCAAAATGCACCCAGCCAAATTCAAGCTCCCAAGACCGCGAGCCTGAAAAGATCCTTGTCTGGGGACTTCGCGAGGAGACTTGCGGTTGCAGATTCAGGTGCGTAACTTTTCTTGCTATTGGAAATACAATCTATATGAACATACAAGTTTTCATACTAATACTTATAGGAATATTTATGTAATAATATTACTATGCCTTTGAGCTTGAATGTTGCTCTTACTGCTATTGCTATTACTGTGTCGGGCTTGGACAAAGTTACTGCAGAGTGCTGTGCCTCGTCACTCACAGGTGGGCCGTCTTTGAGCTGGTCAATCTCCTGTCTTCTGTGGGCACTGAAAGCCGGAAGCAGCCCTGGAATTTGAGAATCACTCACTTTACACAGACTCGAAACCCTCAGAACACTGCGAGAGGAGTCCTCTTGGGAGCAGACGCCCATAGACAGCATGAACTCCTCATCTTCCTGCCAGACGCAAAATTCTTGCATGCGCAGTAAATGCAATCGGGCAAACCACTGCTGCAGCATTCCCTTGTACTCCCCCCCGACCACCCACCAGTCCGCAAGTTCAGCGCTGCGGTGCTAACAGGTTCCCAAGGTTTGGTTAGAAAGGAAGCATCAGCAAAAATGCTGTAGCATTATGTGGGAGATTATCAGAGCATGGCGGGCTGTTGTAGGCTTTGGCAGAGTATTGTAGATTAATTACAATTCCCAACAGCAATACGGTTGGCCACAAACAACCACTGTTGATTTTGACTGAGAGCTGGACATGAAGCAAACGAAGGCGGCCGTGCATATCGAATCTGGAAATAACGGATACGGTCACGGACCTAAAGCCGCAAATGAAGCCAGAACCGAATGCACGAACTGAAAACGGAAACGAACATGGATGAAAATGACGGAAATACACCCGTTATGCAGCCGGAAAAAAAGCGATGCAAACATGCACCACGAAAATGTAAATGAAACCGAAAATGGTTGCAATGGTGCGCACTATGTAGCAGAACAGACGCGCACGCGGAAATGAAACGGAAAAGAAGCCGACAATGATGGAAACGCGCCCGTTTGCAGCTGAAACACATCCTTTTAACCGATACGATCACAGAAATGAATTGCAAATATCCGACACACTCACGGAAACAGAGCCAGAAATGACCGAAACTAACAAGCAAACTGAACACCGAAATGAAGCCATACATTACGGAAATGCATGTTTTATGTAATTAGGTAGCCGAAACGAACGGAGAACTTCTCAATCATTTGCAGCGGAATTGATATTAACAGGTCTCCACTGTGGCTGCAGCATTGATGTGTTTCCAGTTGGATCTCCCTGGTCAGATTACCTATTTCTTGCTTTCTTCCGACTTGATTTCCGTCGGCTATTGCCCGCCTTATTGTTGGCTGCATAACTGACGCGTGTCTGTCCTTTCCTGCTTCACTTCCGTTTCCGTGTCGGCTGCATAATTGTTCCATGTTCGGCTTCATTTCAGTGCTGTTGGTGGCAGACTTTGGATGCCTCAGATCCCAACCTGCGCAGGCAGCATGCGTCTTCCCTCATTTCCGGCTTCATTTCCGGCCGCATACTTGATGCATGTTCCACACATCCTGCTCTGTTTCGTTCTCTGTTCCGCGGCTGTGTCGGGCAATGACGGATCTGTCAATTCTGCAGAATTGATGCCAAAAATACGAGCACGCAAACACAAGCAGAAATGAAGCAAACACCGGAAAGGCATCAATACGCCGAAAAATCCACGAATTCTGTCACGGAGCTGATATGAAGCCAGAATGACGACGATCCATAAATGTTGCAACCCAAATGAAAGCGGAAACGACGGAAATGCATCAATCCAACGCGGAAACCAAGCCGGACATGCAACCAGTATGGAACCACCGACATGAACACGGAAATGAAGCAGATAATGACGAATAAATGCGGCCCGAAAAGAAGAGACAGAACCGACACACACACACACACGGGAATGAAGCCAGTGACGGAAATACATCAAGCAAAAGTGAGCAGTGTCTTGTTTGTGGTAGTCGTGGTCGGCCGTCGCATGTGAAGAAATCAAATCCTGCTTGCTGGTGGGTTCTTGCATGGCTTAATGGATTCTGGTAGTTTGTAGTAGATCATTGTTGGTTCTAGCATAGACTGCAGTATGTAATGACATGTCTTCAGATATCTCATCCATTGCAGTTGCTCCCCTGTGATCCCGTGATGCTACAGGTTGAGCTATGTCGGTATGTTTCAAAAACACGGTCCAAGTATGGAGGTTCCCTGCAACATGCCACAACGCGGGCCTATAGCACAGTCATAGTATCGTGATATGACACTTTTCCATGACACTATTCCTGCATCACAGCATTTTAGCATTAAAGCCTTGTAGTACCATGGTGCTATCGTATTGCAGTACGCTCGTGCTTTCATAATCGCGATACGATGTTGCGGTGGCCGTAGCCTAAGTTACATGCTCAGGAGCTCCTCATCTCAGCGAATGTCGGGACGCCAATGAAGATGTTCCATGTCTGTTGCTGGCAGCACCAAGTCATTTGCTTGGCTATACAGAAATGGCAGGCCCGGCGCACGGCTGTATGCCAAGCGGCGGGACTGTCTAAACTCGCCGGTGCATTGCACTCCATGCCAAGACACCGACCGACCACACAAAACTGGCTCGAACAATCGAATTAGCATGAGGCTGTTCTGTTCAGCCTTGAACGTTAGACTGCCTCCGTTTCGAACAAGGCTCGGCCTTCACATGCAGTTCTCGCTGGTGGCCTCGGACTCCGTGTAAGACTCGGACTCGCTGCTTTGGGTCTTGCCCTTCTCGAAGCTCTGTGCCGGACCATGGAACATCCCACCAAACTCGGACCAGTAGTAGCAGGGGCTCAGCAGCGCCCAAAACATGACATAGCCCGCGTGGACCTGGAAAGGCAGCAGCGCATCCTGGATCGGCTTGTAAAAGCAGAAGCCTGCAATCACTGCCCCGAGATTTCCGCCGGCACCCACAAGCGCGGACACAACCGCAAGCTGCTTCCTGACGTTCGCATACCACTATGCAAAGAATTACGAAGATTAGTTGTTGCCATAATCGCATTACTTTACACCTTGATGTGCTGAACTCTCCCACATTAATGCAACAGGTGGCAACTGCTAATCTCCCACAAGATTCTTTGCGATCCAAGCTTCCGGTTCATAAAAGGCACGATGCCGTAGGAGGTGCCCTCCGCCATCTGCACAAAGAGCGAGAAGCAAACCAAGACTGCCAAGGCCACGTACCAAGGCTGGGAATTGTCCACCTTGCCGAAGCTGAAAAGGAAGATAGCTTCGAAAAAGAGTGCCAGGAACTGAGCCCAAATGCGGCCGCGGAAGCCGAAGTACTTGTAGCAAATGTCGCTGCTGATGCCTCCAAGAGATCTTGCGAACAG